CATTGCAGGTGATATGTAGGCCACACAAAGCCATTGTTTTCTGGGAAGGGTCAGTTGGAAGAGTGATAGCATGCCAACAAAAGCTGAAAAAACACAGCCATTGGATGATATTCTGCATCCACTACCCTTGTAAGTGTAGATCTATAGCCAATCGCCAAAATCTCTCATTGACGTTCTCATGTTAAAGTAGTTTCAAAAGTTGTATTCAGTGTATAGCTTTCAATAAAATATTGCCTGGGGATTCTGCTATGAAGGTCTTCAAGTATTTTCTTGCTGGGGGTGATTATTTTCAACCACTTGTTTCTACATTTTCACCCTGCCTGGCCATGCAAACACATATTGGCCAGGCATGGTCCATCATAGTCACCATTAGGAATCTAGGCCAGAGCAATGATGTGCAGCTGACATTTGATTGTGTTCACGTAGACAGGAAGTGGCTGGAGGAGATGCAAAAAAAAAGAGGAGAAAAGCTGAAAAAAGTAATATATAAAAAATGGCAGCTTAGAAAACTAAATGCCCCCCCCCCCCGAAGTTTACATCTACTTTAAAGCAGATGTTCACCCAAAAGGGGAAGTTCTGCTATTCTTCCTCACCCCCCCCCCCACCACAATTGGCTTTTTTTGGGGGGGGGGGGGAGCAAGTACCCGATTTTGATAGGTTCCCACTTCCTCCTTGACTGCTTAGGTGATTGGAGCAGAAGTTTGTACAAGAGACCGATTTTTAATGGAAAGGGAAATGCAAATATGGGGCAGCAAACTATAATACTTTAAATATTTTTAAAATCTGTACGTATATTTACAAACTGTATCCTTTAAGGTTTTGTTCAGATGTGCATATCGATGATATTTACAAGCAGGTGCATGTAATCAATTCATTTCTGGAGGCTGAGTTCTGTTTTTTTTTTTGAAATTTTAAATATTTGGTTCAGAGTAGTGTAGGCAATCACAGATTATTGGTTACCACATGTTTTATGGTTGCTGAGCTTTCCACTGAAATCAAAACACATGGCGACGTGTGTTACAAATGTGTTCTAAAGCACACTGACATCCAAAAAAAGACCTCTGTTAGTCTGTATTGGCAGGTTTTTGCCCTTTTCTATATAGGAATAACATGGTGTAATGCTGACCTCTAGTGGTAAGAATGTAGACCAGCTAGGAACTTTTTTCAGATTTGGCAAAAGAATTTTTGGCAGAAGGAAGCATTATTATTTAGTAGCTTGTGTGGGGTTTGGGTGTGTGTGTGTGTGTGTGTGTGTGTGTGTGTGTGTGTTTGTTTGTTTTTAGTAGGCTCATGAGTGTTTGCATATGCTTGTAAATTTTTAAGTGAAACAGGAACTTTGCATCTTTTAGTTACAAATCACACCTATCATAGTGGGAACCCACATTCCTGTGTCCTTCCTTCCTTTCCCCCCCCCCCATTTGTTTTTTTTGATTGTCACACTTAGGGCAAGCACATTGAATTCCGTATGTGCAGCAAACGAGCCAAAGAAGCTCCAGAACCTTGTTGAACATGGATCGTCACGTGTTTTTTCAAGGCACAATTGTAGCGAGTTAAATGTGTGTCAGAACACGTCTACTAACCATGCTTCAGGTGCAATGAACAATTAATGGAACCGCAAGTGCAACACACGTTTTTTCACGTGTTTCCAAAATGCGCCCCAAATTGCTCATTTCTGCATGCATTCCTGAAACTCGAAGGTGTAAATGCAGAGCCGTAGTTATTATCACTGGCTGATTAAATTGTGTTGTCAACAGGGCTGGTGCTGGACTTTCTTGCGCCCTAGGCAAGACTAGCTACTTGTGCCCCCCCCCCCCCACAAAAAAAAGCCCACAAAAAGAAATAAATACAAATTTTAAAATCTGTAGAAAATATTAAATCAACAAAACCTGAAACTGCTAAATTTCTTTTAATTTGCAAAAATAAGATGCCACCAGCAACAATATTAAAAACGAAATATAAATTGGCCAAATATAAATTAACTGAATGAACCAATCAGACAGTAAGAAACCAGAAAAAAAAAAAAGACAGTTACAGAACTCCAGTGATCAGCAGCTGGCTTGCAGTAAGGGACTGAGTTTGAGAGGAACACTGGAAGGTGCAGCAGCTCAGGTGCTACACTGGCCCCAGACACTGGCATCTTCCTCCTGTCTTTTCTTCCTCCCCTCTGCTGCCCTTTCTCTCAGCTGAAGGATCATTCATGATATGGCGGCGTCCCACACGATTGTTCAGCAATGCGCTCTCCTTGCCCCTACCATTGTCCGCCCCTGTCACCTCCCTGACCTGCATTCCTCCTAGGCTCGGCTCACCCTTGATGGCTCCTGCTGGGATGTGGAGTCCAGGATGCAGCTCTCAGTGTGGCCTGCCAGCACTACACCGCTTCGCTCTCCTACACATCTGTCCCCAGTGATCCTACTTCCATAGGGTTAACCCTGCAACCAGAGCACACCCCCACCTATTAATTGGCTCCAGCTGTGTAGAAGAAGGCAGAGCCAGCTCTGGACATGCCCCATTCAGTCATTAGCCAGCTCCCTGTTACAGCTGGAGGATCGTGTGTGTACTGGAGATGTGCAGACTGATCCTCTGATTAGAGACTGCTGACCGCAGTCTCTAATCTGGGTCCTGGGCTAATGTCATCACTTACCATCTTAGGGGGAGCCGATACTTCTCAGCTATATGGAATACTGTCACATGTATGTATGTATATGTTACTAAATGGTCATGTGTGTGGAGGAGCTGTGAGACAATTGTGCAGAGTAAAGATACCATCATTCCCTGTATAAGGAGAGGGGGACTCTGCAGAGAAATGGAGAATTCATACAAGAGGTCCATAGGCCACACGGAGAGAGTGCCGGCCTGTGCTGCACCCGGGCTCCCCTAGGTGGCAGTGCACTCTAGGCAACTGCCTAGTGTGCTTAGTGGAAGCACCAGCCCTGGTTGTCAGCTAATATAAAGTGTGTACATTGCATTTAATTTCACTTTAAATAGTTAGTTTGGCCAAGCTGTCCCAAATGAACAATTCCATTACAGAACGATGTAACTGCTGGATGTGCTGAAATGGACTGTAGTAGTATTCGCTACGTTCAGGAACTGGTGCTGTGTGCCAGAAGCAGTAGGGGTGACTCCTCATCTGCTACCTAAAGAGAGTTGGGCTGATTGCTGCTCCACAATTCAGGGGAAGCCTTGTCTTTTTATCAATGAACACAAGGCTTCCTTTGATTGGTCAAGGTGGAAATTGTGACTTCACCTACCTCTCCACCTAGGCCAATCAGAGCCTTAATAAAAAGATATCTTCTGAACTGTGGGGAAGTACTCAGCGGAAATCTTTTAACATTGGAATTTGCCTGCTCCCAGAGCACAGAACACTTATTGTATGTAGAGATTGCTACTAAAGTCCATTACAATACAGACAATGGTTGCATTGGTATTTGATAGAAATAGTTTGTTTAGGCCAGCTTGGCCCAAAAAACTATTTTGTGTGACATTAAACATGGCATGCTACCTTTTTTATGGCACCCCATCTCAAAGAGAATATATGCTGCAATGGTCTGCCCTGCACTCTGTATGGTCTCCATGGTTTTTCTGACCCCTGCAGACACTTACCAATGTACTATGCTGCATATGCTGTACCATTTAAAATAATTAATGTGAACTGGCACCATAGAGAAAAATGTGATTTCATTGTTGAGCATTTCAGCTTGACACAGATGCAGGAGACTTCACACTAGTATCAACATGACCTAAAACTTCCAGAAGTATTATCTTAGGTCTGACTTTTTTACACTGTATGTACTGTATGTCAGGCTATTTGTATGTGAAAGAAAACAAGGAGTCTGCTGAGGGTGTTAACTTACTGGAGCGCCAAGACCTCTGCCCATAAGGTTTAGTTGCACTTCCAATCCCTACTGGAACAGAGGGGTTCTTCCTCACTCTCGCTGCCCTGATCTAATCAAAATCCCTTTAGCAGTTCCTGCAACCATCTGTACTTTGTCACAGCCCCACAAAAGGTTTCATTCCAAGAGATGCCTCCAGTTAGATAGGAACAAATTAATATCCACACATTGGCTCTTGATGCTTAAACAGTTTATGTAAATGGAGAATCACTCTGTAGCACTTCCCTTGCTGGAACTGCTGGTTCTGCATTTCCCATCATGCAGTGTTCTAGCTAAAGATGAATGACAGTCCACAAAGCTCCAACTTCTTGCAAGAATGTTAATTATGACAGTGCATTAATAAACCTCCATATTTCAGTTACAATGGGCCTTGTTGCAATGCATTTGTACACCTCTTAGATTGTAAGCTCCAAGGAGCAGGGCCCTCCTAATCCTCTTGTATTGAACTGTATTGTTGCTGTATTGTCTCCCTTTATTTTGTAAAGCGCTGAGCAAACTATTAGCGCTATATAAATCCTGTATAATAATAATTCTTATACTGGTGGTACATGCATGGTAACAGCCCAAGTGTTGTGTTAACAGGAAAGATCCCAGACCTGTGCCCAGCTATAAATACAAAATCCAAGTATCTCCCATTATGGGGCCAAAAATATCTTAACCCTCTTTCCATGGGGAAAGAACGAACACCCCCCTCCCCTAAGGAGGGGAGACAGTGGTCCACTACATAATCATTTTAGTTCTTGCAAGTAGGGGGAAAAGAAGGAAGATCTTTACTGCACTTCCGAAAACCTGGGATCTAATATCCTCCCACATTGTTATATAGTCTATCCTCATGGACAGAACAGGAGTTTGTTCTATTCTCCTCCCTTGGTTGCAGGGCTCTGGGTTAGACTTCGAGAGCTCCTAGTGTGGCCTGTCAGTAAACTACAGTCTGGCTTTACCGTACATGTGTAACTATAGGAGATGCTGATCTTACAATGTAAGCTTCTTGAGGAAGGGATTGATATGAATGTACAAGATGCAAAGTGCTGTGCAACTTGTCAGCACTACATATAAACGTGTATTAAATGAATGAAATAATAATAATAATATAACTATGTGCTTGTTCTTTTGCAGAGTTCTGGAGAGCTTACACAGAGTTCAGACCTTGATTACCTTCTGAATGTCCCTCTTTTACCTAATATGAAACTTGAGGCTGACATCCGACGCAGATTTATCCCAGTTCGTACTGTTTGTGTGAGCATTGTTCTGTTACTGGTGCAGGTAAGACATTGCCACAAAAAAAGTCTAAACATATTGCTAGTTTTACTCGAGCCATACATGGATTGAAATTTGGCCAGTTCAGCAGGGACCGAATGAGTTTCGATCCATGTATGGGAAGGGAGGTTGTACAGAAGTCGATCTGCTGTTCAACTTGTGTACAGCCACCCTGTTGGATTTTCCCCACTTTATCAGTGCTACTGGCTGTCAGAATACAATAACTCAGCAGGGAGGGTAGAGTGTGTGGTTAAACGAAAATTAACGATCTCTGGGCTGATTTAGTGTGATCTTCAACAGCTACAAACATTATGAATACTATAATGTGCAGTAAGATGATTTATTTTACAGTGTAGGTCTGTCTTTTTGGTTCTTTGATCAGTGAAAAGTGTGTGTACCTATTTGTATGTAAATAAACATTACATTGCCAAAAGTATTGGGATGCCCCTCCAAATCTTTGGATTCAGGTGATCCAATCACCTCAATGGCCACAGGTATATAAAATCAAGCACCTAGTCATGCAGACTGCAACTACAAACATTTGTGAAAGAATGGGTTGCTCTCAGGAGCTCAGTGAATTCAAGCGTGGTACCATGATAGGTTGCCTCCTGTGCAATAAGTCCATCCATGAAATTTCCTTTTTATTAGAAAATTTCCACGGTCAACTGTTAGTGGTACTATAACAAAGTGGAAGCAAGTGGGAACAACAGAAACTCCGCCACGAAGTGGTAAGCCACATAAAATGACAGAGAGGGGTCAGAGCATGCTGAAGTGCGCAGAAGTCGCCAACTCTCTGCAGAGTCAATAGCTAAAGACCTCCAAACTTTGTCTGCATAGGGAACTTCATGGAATGTAACAAAAAATAGCAGTGTGACAGATGCAGTACTGCTCAAACAAAGTGGTTACTTGAAAATCCAAGCGGAGTAATATTGTCATACAAAAAACTTTATTTGATCACATGGATCATATAGAGGTTAGACATAGATATGGTAAACAGATAATAATAAAATCACTTAAAAACATTCGGCGTCTCCAGATTAAGTGGTTGTTCGGCAATTAAGGATCCACATAAGGCAATGGAGTTCCTAACTTCTAGATCAGAGAATTTTCCATACAAAGTCAGCATAGGGAGATCATTCTTCAAAAAACAATTTGGTAATAATCACAATAAGTAGAATGACTTCCTGAAATGGAAAAACCAAAAAAGAAAGAGATCATAGTAGGTGGAACTGAAATAGGGTAAATGCACTGGGCAAATATATTAGCCCAGTAGACACATAACTAGTGTATGTTTTAATCATTACCTTCTCAAAGGCTTGACCATCATTGAAGGATAGATATATGGCCTTCCTGGGTAACCATCGCAGATGAAAGTGTATCCACAGTAATAGATGATTCTAAAAAAGTGTATAGACGTGAAACATCAATGACAAAAAACATATACCTGAATAGAGGTAAAAAAAAAAATCTAAATATTACCATATAGAAGATCAAGAGGACTCAATCCCACTTGAAGTAGGATCAGGTCTTGATGAAAAAAGTGAATGCAGGGGTGGAAAGCCAGGTAGTAAATGTATAAAGTCCAGACTGATGTAGCTCAGTCTAAATATATTATGATATATATGCCCAAAACTGGGTTTCCAAACATTGCTCAATTATGAGGAAGTAATGTAGTTCCTTGTAGATATATGAGACTATTTTCACATGCCACAGCACATATATATCGTATTAAATACGTATTACTCCAGTAGGAGTTCAAAAAATTCCCCCAACTCTGAGGTAAAATAAGCACAGATTTTTCAGAGGTGTAAGGATATACCTCATATACAAATTAGGGCTCAAGCCTTAATAGGCTACACGGCTAATAACTTGCCACCGGTGGAAGTATGCTGTGACTCAGAATCGCCATGTGCGGGCTGCTTAAGATGGTGGATGGAATCATCTATTACCGTGGATACACTTTCATCTGCGATGGTTACCCAGGAAGGCCATATATCTATCATTCAATGATGGTCAAGCCTTTGAGAAGGTAATGATTAAAACATACACTAGTTATGTGTCTACTGGGCTAATATATTTGCCCAGTGCATTTACCCTATTTCAGTTCCACCTACTATGATCTTTCTTTTTTGGTTTTTCCATTTCAGGAAGTCATTCTACTTATTGTGATTATTACCAAAATTGGTTTTTTGAAGAATGATCTCCCTATGCTGACTTTGTATGGACAATATTACTCCGCTTGGATTTTCAAGTAACCACTTTGTTTGAGCAGTACTGCATCTGTCACACTGCTATTTTTTGTTAGGTATATATTGGGTTCATAAATCCACACTAATTATGAGTGAGACGGAGATATTAATATGACATATTATCTTTACGTGTCATATTAGGTGGCTTTTTCTCGTTTGGTTGTTTAACTTCATGGAATGGGTTTCTATAGCCGAGCAGCTGCATCCAAGCCTTACATCACTAAGTGCAATGCAAAGCGTCGAATGCAGTGGTGTAAATCAGGCCACCACTGGACTCTAGAGCAGTGGAGATGTGTTCTCTGAAGTGACGAATCTTGCTTCTCTGTCTGGCAATCTGATGGACGTGTCTGGGTTTGGCGGATGCCAGGAGAACGGTACTTGCCTGACTGCATTGTGCCAAGTGTAAAGTTTGGTGGAAGAAGGGATTATGGTGTGGGGTTATTTTTCAGGGTTTGGGCTTGGCCCCTTATTTCCAGTGAAGGGAACTCTTAGGGTGTCAGGCATACCAAGACATTTTGGACAATTTCATGCTCCCAGCTTTGTGGGAACAGTTTGGGGATGGCCCCTTCCTGTTCCAACATGATTGCACACTAGTGCACAAAGCAAGGTCCTTAAAGACTTGGATGAGCGAGTTTGGGGCGGAGGGAACTTGACTGACCTGCACAGAGTCCTGACCTCAACCTGATAAAGGCAGGCATCCCAATACTTTTGGCAATATAGTGTATATTTAAAAGAAAGTAGTCTTGCTAGGATTTCAGATTAAACAAAATTCACAAATGTTTGTGTGACGGAAGCGTAGGTAGGACAGAACACACAAAGAAGATGGTAAACACACAAAGCTTTATTGAACTATGAAGGCACTCAATCGGGGCAGCTCTTGGCACTCCGCAACATGCGGCGGGTAAGGACACTCACGGTAAGCGGTGATTCAATGGGACCTTGGCGTCTGACCTCAGGACAGCTCCCACACCGCTTCCTAGGGACAACAGCAGCAGCTCACGGGGATTCAATGGGACTCTGGCTGTGGGGCCTGGTCTCAACACAGCTCCCACACAGCTTGCTAGGGACAACATCAAGCTCACGGGGACTCAGCGGGTAGTGATGGCTCATGCATTCAAGGGGGCAGTCCGGGTATCTATACCCTGGGCACGCCATGGGGAGGTTCAAATAAGGGTAGTCTGAGCACACAATAGGGGCAGCTCATGACAAGGGTGGTCGCATGAGGGACACATGACAAGGGGGTCTGTGCGCACACTGGGACAGTTCATGACAAGGGTGGTCTGAGCGCACACTAGGGACAGTTCATGACAAGGGTCATGGGATAGATCATGACAAGGGTGGTCTGTGCGCACAATAGGGACAGTGCATGGCTTCTAGGGACACTCATGGTAGGCGACTTGCGGACGTTTAGCAGCAGGCGGCTTCCGAGAGGTAGGTGGCATGCGGACACTCACGGCTCCGGCAGGTAGGTCCTGGCTCACAGCAGGCGACAGGAACACAAAAAGGGGGGGCGAACCTCCTCAGCACACAGCAGAGCAGATAACCCAGGCCCCAGAGTATTAGGGTATCATGGGGCCCACAGCAAAACAGTCTAGCACACGGCACAGAGGGTAATCTGGGCCCCAGAGTATTAGGCAGGGTATCATGGGGCCCCCAGCAAAGCAGTTCCAGTACACAGCACGGGAGGGGGGGGGGGGTAATCCGGGCCCCAGAGTATTAGGGAGATTGCAGTGGATACCCCCCCACCCTGGGGTATTTAGCAGGGGGGACAGCGGGTACTCCCAACCCTGCGGTATTGCAGAGCGGCAGTGGATAACAGTCGTGACCTTTGGGGTCATGCAGAGTGCTCAGCGGGGATGGCTGCTGGGGCCCAGTCCCCTCACCTGGACCTCCCAGCGGCTTGTGGCTCCAGTAGCGGCACAGGAAAAAAGAGACCGGCCTGGTCCCGCGCCAGCCTTTTTAAAGCCGTGCAGGGCACTTCCGGGTTGCAACGGCCAGGCCAGCGCCTCGTTGCTGGGGCAACGAGGCATGCCCCCTTGACTCGGACCGTGCTCTTGTAATCCGCGGCCTTTGTCACTGGTGGGAAGCCCTGCGCCCACCGGGGGCGCACAGAGACCTCCCAGCAGCCCCCGCCGGGGTCTCCTGGTGAGGGGGGGGGGTCACAGTGGTCCCCTCCCCTCATCCTGCACAGCCTGCTTCAAGGCTGTGTGCGGGCGAGGGGGGAGGGAGCGAGGGGGACACGTGAGAACTGAGGGGGGAGGGAGCGAGCCGGGCACACTTGACAGTTTGCAGTTATGAAAAAAAAAAAAAAATCTACAAATGATTTTAACTATTAATACACCAATATTATGAATACGATCATTTAAAGAGCTCATATTTACTGTGGTTAAAAAGAGTTGCTTGACAGGTTGGGGCCTACCACATTCCAAATGATTGGTCTCAATGAGGAAGGCCTACTAAAACTGGTCTACACAGAATCTGGTACAGCTCTGCATGGTAACCAATCGGCTTCCAGGTTTTATTGTCAAAGCCTAATTGAACAAGCTAAACTTAGAAGCTGATTGGTTACTATGCACAGCTGCACCAGATTCCTTGTACTCCAGTTTTAGTAAATCTCCCCCAATGTGTGCAGGTTGTAGGTGAAAGTACTTAACAGGGCTAGCTTAAAATCCTTCTTTAACTAGGGAAGGTGTATCTTTGTGAGAAAACTATTGTCTGTAGCATTATGCTTTTGCTGTGGGAAAAAAAATGTAGATTATGATTGGTTTCTGTGGGCGGTGTTCCTCATTTTGGTCTGATTTTAATTTATATCACTCCTACATGAAATTACCTAGTAGGATTTACTAAGTGAATATGAGACAAGGGTTTATTAATAAACTGAGTAACAAGGAATAAAAAATACATGTTGTACATACATCATTCTATTACACAAAAATCAAAACATTTCTTTTCTATGTTGCCTCAGACTTTAACTGGTGATCGTCAATGGTACCAACTAGGGAAGCCAGTCATGCAATTACTGCGTCAGCGCGCCTTTTATTTTTCTAAATTGGAAAAAATGCTTTAATTTAAAAAAAAAAAAAAAAGAAAAGTGCATTGTGATCTACTTAAGTTGAGATTTTGAAGCATGTGGAGCACTGGACAAATTTACCAATGCGTTCTCTCTGCAAAAGATTTAGGCTGCATCCACACCTGAGCGATGTGATTTGCACCACAAGCTTTTATGCGACAGGGCTGCCTGTCGCACAAAAAGAGTCAAAGAAACGTGTGTACTAAATTCTGGCACTGAGCCGTTTGGCATTGCACCATGTTTGGGATGCCATTAAGAAAACATGGCACCACAAGCTTGTTGTATTTTTGTAAGTTAACATTTTCGAGCTTAACTAAGTAAGGAAAAAAAAGAAAAGTGAAAACCGGATTCTATGTTAAAAGAATAAATAAATTACACAACAAACATTATCTAACAAACTATATCATATGGGTTCTTTTAGTCATCTCAACAGGTCAGGTCAAAAAGACCTAACTCCAGCACAGACCCGTGGCAGTTCATTGATTCAAGCCCCAAAGTGTGCTGAGAATGTATACCAAGCTGTGCATGTGCAGCTCCTTATGCCTTCAGTAGAAGATTGCAGACAGGCAGGTAGGCTTCTTGCAGAAAAGAGATATCCGCTCCCCCCTTTTTTTTTTTTTTTTTAATAAAGTGTATTTTCACTTTTGCAGCCTTATTGGGATAACACCTACATTTGTTACATGTTCTGTTCACATAGTAGAAAGTAGAAAAAAAAATTAAAACCCAAAACGTTTCTTACATAGTTGATGTTTACCATATTTACTGTGCTGACAGTACTCGTCATCATCATTTGTAAGAAAATCGCTTGATTTCCTCCATCAATACAACCAGTGTTGATGGGAGAATCCCTCCTACAGAGCTATTGTGTTCTTCCAGTGGGGAGGTGTAGGAGGGCGCAGGGGGAGCTGTCCCTGCCAAGAGAACAGTGATTTACTGCTAGCAGCTATAGCCGCTGGCAATAATCACATGAAAAGACCTACAGGCTGGTTATAACCAAGTCGTACAACAATCTAATTGGGTACAATCAGCCTGCCCATCGCTTCTTGGCCAGTCCCTGCTGAACCGCTCGACATTCGAACCATCTATGGCCGGCTTAACCAAAAAAAGTTTTAATTTCTAGAAGTTGGCCTGCATTGTATGTTAATAAGGGTAAACTCAGTTTGTCTTCTTTTGTCAGTGGAGACAGTTGAAGTTTCCACTTGTTTCACAATGTTCAGCCTGGAGTAGCCTGCAGTCTTCTCCAAACACCTGGAAAGGTAAGAAATCTAATTTGCTTTATTTTTAGGTAAGCTGTGTGAATAGGAGCGCATAACAAACATGTTGTGGGTTTTTCTCAAATTCGACCGTAAAAGGGAAAATGCACTTTATGTTCATCTTTTAAAGCAGTATTAATCCCAAAAACATTTTTATTATATTGCAGCTTGCAAATTCTTAGATATGATGCCCGCATTAGTCTTCTTTTAGATTTGCTTTTTTTTCTATTTTCATCTGGCCAGGAACTGTTATTTTTCAAAAGAACAAGCTTTCTATCAGATGTATCAGTTTACAGAGCTAAGACAATCCATTAACCACTGGCAGGGGTGCGTACAATGATCAGCTTTTATTTATTCATGTAAAACCTGTTTGCTGTAAAGGATTATAAAGTGTGAACTCAGGAAAAAGCTAGCTGTCCTTCCTTTTTTTTTTTTTTTTTTTTGCGAATGGTGAACTGGGATAGGGTGAAGGGAGTATGGGATACCTCAAAACTGTAAAACTGGATAACTTGAGGACTCCTCAATTTTCTGGCTGCGCTTCACAAAATTCTTAAATGTCCCACAAGATCTCTTAAGCTGTAGGTGGCCTGTACTGCTTCCAGAACTATATATTGCACATGCTCACTTTTTCCTCCAACACTGAAGGTCAACTACTCACTTAGCCACAGGATCATCAGATGCTTCCCACCAATATCCACCAGGCTCTTTCTAGTGAGGGAGATATAGACTCTCGCCACCGTGGACAGTTGGACTTTCCCACTAACTTCCTCTTGGCTTTCTCTTGAACTTGTAAACAGGCCCCCCAGCTAATCCTAGCTGAGACCTTGGTGTTAGAGAAACCTGTGTGAAGACATCAATGTCCCAAGGGGCAGAGCCGCTGAACAGGGTCTCCTCCTGCAGGACCGGGCCCAGAAGTACTGCCCCTGCTGCCAGTGTCTGACTATTTTATGGGCTTTCTCTTCACCTTCTGTGCAAACCTCCACAAGCATTAGCTAGAGTCCCATAAATATTGAGGCTACCCACATTTTTCTTCCTCCCACTATGTTTCTGGAATCAAACTTTCTAAGCAAGGGGCCACTTTACTATCCTTCAAGTTTTATTGGGGGCCAGACCATGGCCAGTGGGAATAGAAAATTCCCATAAACCATGTTGGCATAAACCATTGGGAAGAATAGTGCCATCACTGGTGTCAGTGGGAGGAATGGTGCCCCATCATCAGTTTCAGTTGGTGAAATTGTGCACCAAGGGACAGATAAAAGTAAGCAGAGTTCACCATCCAGCCCCTCCAATTGCAGTTTGGAGACCACTGTTCTTGAAGACTGGAGTAAATAACAGTGCAGCAGCCTGTGAAACACTGAGCAGCCCCAACCAGTCAATTCCCGCACTCCTCTGATTACAAGGAAGCAAAGCTAAATTTTCCTAGGAGCCTTTGCACCTTGCACTGCAGCATTCAGACAGCTTTTTCTGGATGACTGTTTTAGGAGAGCAGATTTGTAAATGGATTATATGCTGTACCACTGGAAAGACAGAAATATTATGTTTGTTCTTTTAACATCCTCATTTCTTCTGTTTTCCAACAGGTAGCCTTCGTAGCTTTGGCTCTTGTCTCTGGTTATTTTTGCATACTTCACAGTGAAGATGGTAAATGCATGCAATACACAAACCCCTTTGAACTGAATACAATTATCATCATGTGTAAAGTCATACTGTGGTTGTTGTACGTGGTCCATGAGCGATTTCTCCACTACCATCACTCCAAAGCAAAAGGCCGGGGATATCTTAAACTATACCAATCCACAAGCCATCTCACGACTATTCCACTAATGATACACTCTACAGGTATTGTACAGCATTATCTTTATTACAACAGATGTTTAGGTTAAATGCCTAAAAAAATAGGGTGCAAGGCTGAATATGACCTTAAAATATAATACACGGGAATTTCACATTATAATTCGCAAAGCACAGATAAGTATTTAGCACACAGTTTTGAATGGAATTTTGTTTGAACTCCACAAGAAACACAGCTGCATGGAGTTTGCATGTCCTGCTTGTCTGTGTCAGTGTACCAAATGAAGGTATATTCTGACTGTCACCACCCTACCTGCATTTTAAAGTGTTATTAAACCCTATTTAAAAAAAAAAAAATCTAATGGTTTACATTTTACACAAGTGGCTTGCGGGTATGTAAAAACACTTGGTCACAACTCCTGGTCACTTTACCTTTTAACCATTTGCTGCCTGGAGTACTTGCATACCTAGGCCTTTGGTCCAGACAGAAGCTCCAGATGCTAGGCAGAGGACTTCTTTCCACCACTCACTCCAGAGTTGACCAGGCTTGCACCAGTAAAGCACGTAACTCTCTTCACCACAGGCATTGGCTCTACTTGACATTTTACTCCTATTAGGTCATAGCACAGAGGCTTTTTATTGCAGTAAACTCCATTTTACTTATTTCAATGAAGCAAACCATCCATATTACTGGTAAAATCATTTCCAAATAATGGTGAATGGAACTTTGTTGCCAACAGTCAGTTTGCTGACCAAACATGGAGTAGTAAGGGTGTAAATACTCACACCGTGAATAAAGGGGAGAGAACAATGTTCTTGGACAACTTGCCAGCCAGCTTGCTAACAACCGCATTAACCTGTCTAACAGTATGCGTTTATAACAGGGGTTTAGTTAGCACACATTTGCAAATACATACGTAAGCCACAGAGCCACGACACGGCACCCTGGTAATCTGTGGTCCTAACTCTAAAATTTGTGAGTCCCCATAGTAGAGGCACATGCATTTAATGGATAGATCATGGGCAGGTGGACCTGAGGGAGCCACCCCTCTTAAAGGCAAAGGAGTGCACTGGACCCCAGCATGTAGCACAATGGCAACCAGGTCCTGTGTGCTAACTAAACCCCTGTTAAACGCATACTGTTAGACAGGTTAATTCGTTGGTTAGCAAGCTGGCTGGCAAGTTGTCCAAGAACATTGTTCTCTCCCCTTTATTCACTATGTGATGCCTGTTTATGTGTCCTTGCTTCATAAGCCAGTTATAGACTTGGGCTGGTGGCCACTTTTATGCATGTAAATACTCACACCGTCCAGTTATTCCTGTAAGACTTCTAGGTTATTTTTACCTCCCTATTTCATTCTGATGCCTACTAGACAGAGCCCTTCTCCATCCACTCTCCAGAAGGGGAGAGCAGAAACCCCCTTCAATGCTGCTCTCTCCTCTCTGGCTGTCTGACTCCAACCTAGACTCCACCAACACCTTAAAGCAGAGTTCCACTCACACTGTAAAAAAAATAAGTCAGCAGCTACAAAAACTGTAGCTGCTGACTTTCAAAAACAACCACTAACCTGTCCCACGATCCCACGGTGTCCTCTCCGCAGCCCATTTCACCAGCTGTCTGGTGTTCCAGGGGCCGGCATCTTCAGTGTGGGCACCTGGCTGTGACAGCTTGCAGCTGTCACAGCCAGGTGCCCACTGCGCATGCATGAGTAGCACTGCACTTCCTGAATGGGCCCCGTAGTCTTCTGGGACTTGTCACATGTCCCAGAAGACTACAGGGAGGGAGTGTAGGGGGACAACTTCCACTTCAGATTGCCTAGGCGATCGAAATGGGAGCAAGTACCTGTCAATTTCGGGTACCCGCTCCCCAAAGGTGCCAATTCTTAATGGGGAGCGGGGGACCAGTCTTTAAAGCGGAACTTTCCCTTTTGGGTGGAGCTCCACTTTAAATAGGCCAAGTAACCACCTGCAGGGAAGAGTAAATGCTGCATCTGTCCCCCGCCAGCTCTATGTTTGAGAACTCCAGGATTGCATGATCACGGAGTTCTCACCATCACTCTGAGATGAGTGCGGTGACTGTCAGTCACCATTGTCTGCAGCGCTGGACTGTGGAGGCGGAGGGTGTGGCTGGCCCAGGCTCTTAGCGGCTTGCAGAAAGGCTGAGCCAGGTGCCACTTCAGACTCTGGGGTGGATTCGACTTGAAAGTTGAGATCTTTCTCCAGTCTGGACAGGCTGAGTAACTTCAGCTGACAGCGGGCTTCAGCCCACTGTCAGCTGAAAACAGGTCACAGAAGTGCAGAATGAAATGCATTCCTGTAATCCACACAAGAAGTACAGCCAAACAAGCTTTGACTGTGTTTCTCCTTTTAAAGGTAACTTGCACCTGTTTACATCCGGAAGTTCAGGGAAGCGGAGTTGCGAGACCAATTAGGTGGTGGTGACCAGTAAGGATTGCAGTGTCACTGCACACATAAAACACACAGTAAAGCACTGGAGAGTGTGTTTTTTTGTTAGAATGCATTTATTTTAAAAACTTGTGTTAATGCTACTTAAAGCCTTTTGTATAGAAGAGACGTTTTTGTCATTTTATTTTTTTAAATTTCCAGCAATTAAATCCTTGCCTGTGAAATTTTTTTTTTTTTTAGATTGTAAGCTCTAACTAGCAGGGCTCTCTGACTCCTGTATTGAATTGTATTGTCAATCTACTGTTTGCCCTAACGTTGTAAAGCACTGTGCAAACTGTTGGCACTATATAAATCCTGTATTATAATAATAACATATGTAAATAATATAAGTAAAATATGTGTAGCTGTAGAGCTGCAATAAGGATTGTTTTTTTTAGGTGATTAAAATTCAAACATTACCACAAGGAGGCACTGGTGGTACACAATGTGAGCCTTTCATGTTATGTGATCCAATGCTGAAGAGGTTCACCTCCAGGTTGTTGTTTATCCTTTTATTGAAATAATGTATTATATTCAGATTAATGTAGATTGCTGGGGTGTAATACAATAATTAATATTTATTATCGTTCCAAAGCTCTGATGACATGTAAAAGGAGTAATAAAAAAAAAAGTAAATACAATTTTAATAATTTTACATTCTTGATCCTAATGGCAAAAGCTATGTACTTAGCCGTTAGTTGAGTGATCACATTTTATGCAGATCCTGGGTACTTGGAGCACAGCTTTTATCATAAGAACCTGGAAAGATTTTCTGCAGCTTCAACAAAATCAATGGCAGTGGGAGCATAGTACTCTCAGAGGGATGACTATTTTCAGCACCCAGCCTTGGTTTTCTCATGTCATTGGCAGTTGGTGGTGTAATAACCTGAACCATCACCTTGTATTTTGGATAAAATGGAGAAGGGGTTAGATCTTTTGTTAGATTTTTAGTGCTTTCTGTCTCCCTGTTGAGCTTTTCCCCTCACTTCCTGTTTTGTTGACACCAAAAGATATCGGTCTCCCTATTTGGGACGCATTATGTTCCTGTTAGAGACTCCAGAAAATTGGCGTGCTAAAGGTGTGCAATATCTCATACAACTAAGCCCAGAACATCTTTCTGTAATACTAAACAGGTGCCTTTTGTGCACAAAAGGCACCTATTTGATTTATTGCTACATATTTTATTCATGTCTCTCCAAAAATAACAATGTTGTGCATGATCATATTTGGTGGAAATGCATATGTCCTATTTATCAATTGCCTAAGGCAACCAAGGTCATAAAATCACTAGTTTGCCTATGGTAGCTAGTAGCCATTGTTGTGCACATCCCAACAGGGCCGGTGCAAGGATTTTGTCTACACAGGTGACTGTGCATTTATTAATCTGTTATTTTAAAAATGCCACTGGCTGGGGATTCCAAATTTTGATGCTGCCCCCCCCCCCCCCCTCCCCATCCTGGTGCCCTGAGGCGGCTGTATGAGCCGACTTAGGCTGGCACGAGCCCTGCATCCCAATGGCCCTGAGAAGTAAGCCTTTTGTTAGTTGAACCATGTTGGCATATGAGCCCACTTGTTTTGCAAGTCTGTTGTAGGACTTTGTTTGGTGTGTTTTTTTTTTTTTTTTTTTGTATGAATGTTGTATGAATCCAGGGCTTTGTTGGAAGGCAGCAAATTAGGGGAATACATTTCCCAGAGGGGCTGGCATGTGGTTGGAGGTATGTAAAGGTAGAAGCCTGGGAAAAGAGGCAGGAAGGGAACTGGGGAGAAAACTGGAAGGAAGGTGTAAGGAGACGGCTGTGCGGAACGCCGGAGGACTGGACCAGGCTGCATAGTGAGAGAGTGAAAAATAAGGGAGGAATAGCTGACTGCTGACATCACCTAACAATCTGGAGAACTACCCTGTCAGCATATGACCTGGAATACTGTAGTCACAAATGAACACTGCAGGAGGAACCGCTCGGGGCCCCCATCTACAGAGAGACAACCAGACTGGGATGATGCTATAGATCGGGTGTGAGTCCCATTCTCCAGCCAATTAAGCTGTCACTGACGTTCTCTTTAATCAGACATTCTCTATCTAGTTACTGACATTGTTCAAAAGTTGAGGCCTAGTTCATCCGGCCGATTAGCAAGCACATCTCCAGCATAATCTAGTCATCAGAGCCTCACATTCATCAAGGGACTCTTGTCATTGTTGTCATTTGCTACTGCAGCCTATAGAGGAATTAACTCTTACCAATAAGTGCTTCTGCCCAGCCCTTAAACTTCTTGCTTAAAACCTGCATCTCATCTTGTGTATTAAAGGGTATTGCCCAAGTTAAATACCACTTGAAGGGGTAATGCCTGCACTTGTATAAATCCTTTTGAGGGACTTCCACCTATTGCAACCAAGGAGATCTGAATTCTTGTAGTGCACCAACAGAAGATCTTCCACTGATGTTAAAGGAGAATTAGCCTTCCTAATTAAAGATCTCTTTTCTTACCTAAGACTTGAACCTTGTCATCAGCTTCTGAGGACCCAAAGTGAGCTAGCCTTACTCTTTGGTAGTTTTTTCCTTTGCTCACTGGTGACAGAAACATCTCCGAGTTGAGGTCATTGGTTATTAAGGAAGTTCAGAACTGATAGTAACTTTAAGCAAAAGTCAAC